ACCTAATTTGAGGTCCTATCCCACCTTGTGCTTGGATGGCCTTAAGAGGAGCACGAAAACTCTCAGTCAGGATAAGAGGTCTTTGGACGGAGATTCAAACCAGAGACCTCCGAATTACGAAGCCCCTAGAGCTGGTCACTCGACCAGGACACTCGTTCCAGCTCAGGTGTCACGAAGCAGACCATCTTGGCTGTTCCCACACACACACACAGCCATCATTGCATTACTCCACGGAAGGGAAATTAATCAGGCCTCAAGAGGGATTCGAACCCACGATGCAGGAATTCCAGCGGTCCTGGACTGTACGTGCTTCAGACCGTGATGTCATTGTAATCGTCTGCAACCCAGTTTCTTCAGTCGTACTGAAGCTGTACCGTCTCGTACACCTCGCCTTCCAGGACACTGATGTTGTGTCCAATGTCTGGGGCGGCCGTGTCTGAGATCAAAAACGAAGCCTCTAACACAAGGAAGAATTAACTCCAGTTTGGACAATGGACTCTGGATTACTCACTGTCAACAGTAATCAACGATAAAAATATTCAAGACTGAATTCTATTCTGCCAAAATAACAACAGAAAAAAGAACATTCCAGTGCCAGTACGTCGTTAAACAAACGCCACATTTAAAAATGTTTCACACAAAATTTCTACAGGTCAACAACACCTGTGGTTTTTATTCTGCAAGAATTCTGTTATATGAGCTTTCATAGTCAAGTCGAATGAACCACGGAGGAATAAACTGCCGACACAAAATTCCATCGAAACCCGCAGACGCACGGGGAATAAACTGCCTACAAGAGTCAGCTAATCGTGTGCACAGCATTATACGTCCAGTCTGTAGATCTATGCGAAGAAATTTCGCCCGGTATCCCCGGTTACATAAATCCTGTCCACACCTCATATTACATATTTCCTTGCAATTCGCTTTAATATTATCCCTCCATCTACGCTAAAGTCTTCCACTGGTTTCAGGTTTGCCGAATAATATTTTGCATGACTTACTCCCATCCACTACACACTGCACAGGTAACAGAGATAAGAAAAGTGGCCTTTTGTGTGCACGCGGAAAACAATGCCTCATCTCACGACGTAGTTTACAACTTGCAAGGGAAACATCAGCATAGCTTCAAGACATGGCTGACGTGCGTGAGTTCCGTTATGTACCGCGTGCGAAGAGTGGACGAGTGACCTCCAGAGCGTTTTAATGAGAACGGTGTACCGCGTGCGAAGAGTGGACGAGTGAAGTCCAGAGCGTTTTAATGAGAACGGACCAACAATAAACGAAAGTATAATTAATTAATTAATTAATTAACGAAGAAAGAATTAACATTCGGAGGAACGGGTTTTTAAGAGCAAGGAAAACCACGAAGCATAATCCAAAAATTCTACAATTTAGACAAAGTCCAAAAGAACAGAATTACATGTTACAAAGCATCATCGTAAAAGAAACACTTCAGACTTCGACAGCAAAATTACACTATGCATTCCCTAGAACAGCGTTTTTCAATCTATGGTACCCGTACCACTGGTGGTACGCAAATTAAGTAAAAAAAATCAAAAGATGATATTGACACAAATAAGTTTTCCCTGAACGCATTTGGTTAGTGGTACATTTAATGTGTTAAATTAGAATCAGTGGTACGGCCAGCGAAAAAGGCTGAGTAAAAACAGTGACGTCACGGAAAATATTCACACATCGGCAAATGATTAAAGAAACAGAACACGCGAGAAGTAAACACGTGCACACGTGACTCTCATTATACGCGTTTCACATTATCGCGGTCTTGTTTCAGTGTCATGAGGGGCATAAATATCCTATCGCGCAGGCCCCACCAATTCGACATCGGGGATTATAAATCAAGGCATCATGATGGCGCACTCAGCCCCTTCTATGACAGAAGAAACATCGAGACAAGGATCACGCCATCTGTGGCGTGTTTCGAGATTAATAATATTTGCTGAAGAGGAAGAAGGTTGAAGGTAAACTTTCTGATATTTAATGGACATCTGACGAAGGATTGCATTTAGGATATTACATTTGAGTTTATATCGATTATACACCTGAAGATGGTTCATTGAAAACCGAAACATGTCGTGAAAAAGATGATGCTCTAATTGTAAATCGAACATTTCGATAGAAAGAGCATCATTTTAATATATTTTAAATATTAAATGTTAATTGTAGTAATAATACTTTAATATTTAATAAAATATTTTATTGTGATTAGACGGTTAAAATTAAACAATTATAAACAATTAAACAATTGAAGGTAAAGTTGGGACTTTGGGTTCTTACGGAGGCGAGTACAAAGATGTCTGTCTTCTGGGATGTTACAGTCAGCAGTCTCGTTGAAACTGACCGATGTTTCTAAGGTGCTTACTGACTCCATCATCAGGACGATGAGTAAACCGCTTGGGAAGATAAAGGAGCAGACTGGACAAGGTCGAAACTTGGCCGCGTGAAGAACCACCGAAACGTCGGGCATTGTCTACAAGACTACACTGCGAAACATTGAAGGGAAGTCATCTTCGAAAGGTAAATTCGCCCCTGGTGTTCTAGAACCACAACCGGTAGATGTATTGGGGGAGTAGGGGTATATCTCCATGTATTCTTAGCCTACGCACTAGGTGAGTGATTACCTTCACGCCTCGGCCGCTTTGGACCTGATGAAAAACCTCTGGTAACCACGAGATAGGAGGAAGGAATAGCCTTGTTAATATAATGTCTTAGATGCGGTACGTTTTACCTTTTAAAAGTTTTGTCACTGTTTTGAGGTGACAAGACAGTGATTGTAAGACTTGAGGTTCTCACAGCGGTGAGTATGAAGATTTCTGTCTTCTGGGTTGTTGCGCTGTGTAGTGCAGTATGACCTCTGAAACGTTGGTTAACATCGACCAGACTACACAGCGCAATAACCCAGAAGACGGATATCTTCAAGACAGTGATTCTTCCAACAGAACGTTCAGTAAACAAGCAATGCAGACGTAAAGTTTCAGGGAATTGGATTCCTGTGAGATGACAGTAACATATATTTCTCTCCACGCTGTATTTACGTCACTGTCCTTTATTCTGGTATGAATATGTAATGATACAACAAAAGGAAACAAAACACTGTCATCCAAAGGTCAGATTCCAACGGCACCAGCTACAGCGAAACCTTACAAAGGAAAACACAGTTCTTGAATTTCATTCCTAGTTTATTTAACGATGCTGCCTCAACCGCTGAGGTTGTATGATTACAGAGTTGAATGAAAATAAGATAATTACGAGCACTGAATACATTACGATTTTGAATGGATCATTCGTGGTCCATTTCGAAGTATTATCCAAATATTCGCACGGAGAGACTGAGTAAAACCACTGAAACTTCAGTCAGAGCAGCCGAAACTATTCGAACCGAGTATCGCCAAATACTTCAGTCCAGTTCATGTATCACCCTCTCGTCAGACATATTTTAATATTATCCTCGCACTGCCAACTAGTCTCTCCCACCGGCGAAATATTTAATATACGCATCCAAATTAAAATAAATACAGAGACGTTTACAAAAACATCACTTTACAGAGGAATCAAAATATTTGATGATAACTGTTCGGTCGAAAGAAAACTTCGTATTTCAGAAACGAAAAATTAAAAAGTACGTATATTTACAAAAGCACGGGCTGTGTTTCATGTGCTCTCACTAATATTATTCCACCCATAAAAACAAAAGTTCACGTCTTAAGAATACGACCATAGTACTCTCCCCAGACAACACCTATAATATGTTAATTTATAGCAAAATTGGCATGAATTAAATGTTGTTAAAATTTGGTTTAATATCCGGACTATATTTTTTTTTGGGGGGGGGTTAAATTGACCCTAGTGTAAAAAAAAACTCAAAATACTCATAGTCTTCGACAAATCAATTATGTACAAGTCCAACGTTCCGGAAGGTTCTCTGCCCTTACATTCAGGGAATTATGTCCTTGAAGATCATTCCCTTATGATGGAGGCAGACTACTTCAAACCCTTGGTCTTCTGCTCAAAACTGAAGCAGCTGATAGGCCGAGGTTAGGTTATTACATACATTTTCATGCTAAAGACTTTCGAAAGGATTATACACGATAATACAGTCAATTGAATAAAAATTTACTTGGATATTATCCATCGTCTAGTAATAAAACGTAAAAAAAAAGTAAAACGACGTTTCGGAGATGGGGCTCTATCTCCGTCTTCAGGTTCCTACTCAGTTGGGCCCACTAGATAGAGCTAATCCCTATCTCCGGGAGATAGGGATTAGTATTTTTTTACGTTTTATTACTAGACGATGGATAATATCCAAGTAAATTTTTATTCAAATGACTCTTCAGAACCTGAAGACGGAGATAGAGTCCCATCTCCGAAACGTCGTTTTACGTTTTATATTTACTAGACGATGGATAATATCCAAGTAAATTTTTATTCAAATGACTCTTCAGAACCTGAAGACGGAGATAGAGTCCCATCTCCGAAACGTCGTTTT